AAATGAGACCATTAAAATTAAATATATTTCATGAAAGTTAGGTCCAGATTATTTATGAAAATTAATCAACTTAATGGCTAATGTAACCAATAAGTAGATAGTTAAGTACATTCCTGAAGCAACATCAAAAATTGATGTTTCTGGTATTCAATGGTGGCAACCAAAACAAAAAAAAAAAGGTTTAAAGGAAAATATTATTCAGAACTTTCTCATCAGTAGTGCTAATAGTGAGTTAGTGGCTAATATGTAATGAAATTTTAAAACAACAGAATGACTAACAAAAATCATAACATGTTAAGTTATTTTTTGTGCAACTGTTCAAAATTGAGTTTCATTAAGTTACCAGCATATCTGCTTGTCTGAAATAAGTAATAATAGCAAGATATTAAGCTTAAAAAGAAGCTATCCAGAACTTTGAGAAACTTTCTTTTACCCTGAATGACCATTTATGTAAAGCTATAAGGTGATACCCACACTTCTAAGATTTAGACAGTCGATTCTGTCAAAACAAAGCCTGATATAAACCCTGATATAAACTATCTGAAATGTTTTATAAAAACATATTTTTACTTTTGACACTTTATTTTTTAAATGAATGCTGAAATTCCCAATCAGGCTATCCTGTTAATTATATCTAAAGGCACCAATTCAAAGATTGAAGAGTTAATAAAGAGGCTAAATAAGGAATTTAAAGAAATATATATAAGTTAACGAAAAGCATAAACAAATTGAAGTTAATTCATACTATAAGCATCAATAGTAACAGTGAATCCAATTGTGATGTGCTATAACATGAAATTTTTTTAAAAATGGAGAAAAAGATGGCAGAGGCAGAACAGTATTAAATTATAAAACTTATTTCCTTATTTCCACACTTGGTTCCATAACAAATGCTATTAATTTACTTTTAGATACCGAAATTTAATATTTTAATTTCTTTTATTTTGCAGCTTCAATAATTTTTTTTAAAAAGCAGCACTAACATTTCTACCTCTCTGGGCAATTAAGAAAACTGCTAGCTTTTCAGTTTAAAAACGTAACTGAATTTTAAATTGATTACCTCTACTGTTGTTCCATCAACGAAAGTAGCATCAGCAAGCTCTGCACCTTGATAAGCTTGTGGTGTCTGGTAAAGAACATCTGCAGCAGTTGGCATGGTTGCCCAAATATACCCAGGATTTGTAGGTACTGGCTGCAGTGAACTTTGCAATGACAACTGAAAAATGCAAAATAAACAATTTTCTATGCAAATTTCAGTCTGGTGACCATTTCAAAAACATGCACTTTAATCTGAGTAGGTTTAATAACTATCACATCATTTCATCTATCACAGTGGTTCTCAACCTTCCTAATGCCACCATCCTTTAATAGTTTCTCATGTCGTGGCGACCCCCAGCAAACACAATTATTTTCATTGCTACTTCATAGCCCTAAGGATATTTGTTTCCCGGTGGTCTTAGGCGACTCCTGGGAAAGGGTCGCGACCCACAGGCTGAGAACCACTGATCTATCACATGTCAAAATTTTCTATCACCATTTTTAAATCTAGCATGGCAGATTTTTTTTAAAACAGCATAAAATGATCAATAGTAGAATTCTTAAACGGGTTCGTCCCAAAGTACTTATGGTGAGATGAGATGGCAATGCACACAAATTGAAGTAAAATGTGTTATATGTGGTTACCTTTCAATAAAAATTATGTAAAATGTATAATGATCCAGAATATTTTAAATTACCGGTAATTTCAATCACTTTAGATTTCCACTTCTCACTGAAATTGTATTTGTTTTACAGATTTTTTATAAATTGCTCCAGTGTGAGAGAAATTTTTTTTTAAATATTAAAACTAATCAACTTGAGGAGTTCTTTGTTACTTATATATTCTTGGCATTAGATAGATTGAATAGCCAACTTTTCTATTTTTGATGTGAACTCTCATTTGCCTGACCAAAGGGACGCAATTCAGTTAAAAAAAGGCACATAATTGTTTTAAAGAGAAAAATATAAAACATGAATAAAATTTAATTTATTTTTTAAATGATACAATGAAAAAGGGTAAACATTCAATTATATTTTCTGAAATTTCCCTACAGGATGTACCAGAATCTATAGTGTATATTTAACTATTCATCATCAATATTTTCTACAAAAATTGAAGTTCTGTTCTTATATAGATGTATAAAAGTTAGGTTGCTGGGCCCCTAACTCACTACATCAACAATAAGCAACAGGTAAAACTATCCCTACAGAATGTAGTGTGATAAATAAAGAGAAAGAAAAGCGAAAGCAGAGGCAGTTTAGCATTAATTATTTTTCTGATAAAAGATTTGGTATTTATATATTTTTTTTTATCGATCTTTATTTCTCTTTTCAGCTTTGGCTCACTTGAAATTTAACCTACCTGCTGATATGGGTATTGCGGAGTCATATAAACCTGATTTTGTGGAATCATTACTGCTGTTGTGGCATATGACTGCTAGGAAAGAACAAAATTGAGAAAATATTTCTTTAAATTTACCATTTTAAAATGGTATGGAATGCAAAATTATGGTATATCAATATTGTGCTTTAATACCAGTTGGGTAATTTTTTTTTATGTTAGTTTACAGGTGAATAAAATTTATGACCGCTTCATTTGGCTTAAAAAAAAGAAGATCCAAAAAAAAAAAAAAAAAAAAAAAACTTTTTCCATGTAATAAAATATACTGTTTTGTAACCATAAGCTGTCTGAAAGCAAGTTGCCTTGATTTGAAGTTCATTCAAGTAGGAATGTCAGAAGCTATTATCTTGCAAAAAATCTGATATAATTTAATTGTAGTACAGCCTTAAATGTAGTAAGGCTGTTTCATAGGGAGAGTGCCAACACCATATTACCAATCCAATTTGGCCTAATGTTTAATTCCCAAAAATAATTTCTAAGAAGTCACACATGGCAGTGTAGCCATTTTCCAATAGCTGGAGCTAACTCTGCCATTAGAACATGCAACCTTCTGATCTGTCAAGTAGCTTTAACATTGCACCATAGAGCCTTCATATAGTAGCAATTTTGGAATTTTTATTTCAATTACTATAATTTTTGTGATAGCAGCATTTTCCTTCATAAGATAAGACATTTTCCTTTAGCTTATTCCAACATCATCTATATCACAAGTTCCCAATCTTTTTTTTTAGTAACAACCTAATATTATTGAGGCAAATCAAAGCCATTATATAGAAGCAAAAAAACATGTACCCATAAAATACAATATTTAATTCACCTGGGGTTGTGCTAAAGGATAGTTCCCATCTGGAGTTTGAAATATAGCCATGCCATTCTGATAGGTATAGGGCACACCATTAGTAAAAAGCACAGATCCAGGTGGGATGCTAGCATCTATTGAAAATAATGACAACCATGGTAAGATTAATACAATGCATATTTGTAAGTCTATAGTTCTTTTTTTTTTATACTGAAATAATACTAGACTACAATCTAATTTAAGTACTTTTTATTTCAACCAATGATCACAACAATGCAACTTAATCTTTTTCATAAATAAAGTTGATCTTTCAAGAGAGGACTTTAATTTTATATTTAAAGAACATACATTAAGACTTACTATAGGGGCGAGGCAAACCCTATAAAAAAAAAAAAAAAAGAAGAAAAATTAATTTTATATTTAAAGAACATACATTAAAACTTACCATAGGGGCGAGGCAAACCCTATAAAAAAAAAAAAAAGAAGTAAAACTAATTTTATATTTGTAAACTGCAATAAAGAATTTTGAAAGATCTTGCCAGGTTTTTTTTATAAAACCTCAAGACTTTTGAAACTTTATGATGAAAATTGTACTAAATGTATTTAAATTTTATTTTTTTTAATGGGAAAATTAATTTAAAGGAAGGAGGTAAGAGCAGAAGCTACAGCTATTTTCTCATGTTTTTTTTAATAAAAATCTGTACGGGTCATTAGATGTCTAAGAAATTATTTTTATTTGATGATTATTGTTCCTTAAAGGGATCTACCAAAAAAGACTTAATGAAGAAACTAAAATGAAAGAAGGGTTACATTTCTGTAGATTATGTGCAAAAGATAGTTTGTTGCTATACAGTGAAACCTAAGAATAGTGACATTGAAATAGCGCTGACACTGGCAAAGCGCTAACACTCACGACCAGGGCTGATCAATTTTAAAACAAAAATATGGAAATAGCACAATTTCTGCCAGATGCAAAAAAAGTTTCAGGGGGGCAAAATGGTCTTTTCCCCGTTAAGTCAAAGACAGTGTGTGACATGTATATTTCTTCTAGTCTGCTACTACAGTTCATTTCTAAAATCAGGATGAGGGTTATGAATGAACCATGGGCATTGTGTGTTAAGTTTTGTAAAAACAGTGAAAACAATGCGATCAAAATAGCAACAATGCATATATAACTTATGTTTGGATGGTCATAACAGACATGCCAAATATTGATCATATACATATATGCCATCCTATTTTTCGAGTTATATGGCCGAACAGGATCCTGTACATTTTTCCAATGAATTTAGAAACGGAATACTTTTGCACATGATAGTATAAACATATGATTAAAATCTTAACTGGCAGTGCAATAAATTGGATATCAGAAAGCTGAGATCCTATTGGTCTGTTCAAAACGACCTTAGGTTGAAAGTTGGAGATTGGTAGGGTGTTTTAGAAACTGAGTAGTTTCGCTGAGACTATTCGTTAATAGTATAAAGCATTGTTCGATGGTATCCATGATTGAAAATCAGTTTGTGTATTCCTCAAAACTTCCAATAAACACTTTATATCCACATTGCGCCCCATGGTATAAAAAAGAAACTAATCAACATGGATTTTCCTGCGGAACGTTGAAAATAGGTCTATAAAGTGACGTCACAACTTCTTGTATAAAAAATATGCATTGATTTTATTAATGTCAAAATACTAACCCCATTAAATATTTGTGTATTCATAAATAAATACAATTCAAATTAAACGTATAATAGTACAAACTTAACATACTTGTTTTCTCACTGCTGGGCCAATATTAAGCTTTCTGTCCTTGAAGATAAGATTATCCGACTGATGTAAATACAAAAAAAAAATAATAATTTAAAAGTCATTTAATAAGTCATCTAAAATTGTATTCATAAATTTTAATTTTTTTAATTTTTATGTTAATTTGTTGTAGACATCGATTCCAGACCATTTTATATCAATGTAAATAACAAGCTCCTGCCTAAAATTCTACTTTTCTTTTGTCCACCAAACTCACCATACGTTGCAAATGTAAGTTTTTAAAAACTCACAAGCAACATACCTACTAAAATTTACTGCTTTTCTAGTGAGATAATAGCTATTTTTTTTGGAGATAACTGAATGTTTAAAACTTCTTTCATTACCTTGATACAAGAGCAAGAAAGAGAATTAAGTAGAATCTATTGAAATCAATACAGATGATTCTATGGTTAAAGGTAATTTAAATTTGACTAAAGAATTATTACAAATAGATTAAAACCTATAGTTCATGTTTATAGGAGAGCGGTGACCCTGATGTCGTCAGGTGCAAGCGATGAAAGGTTAATCAATACACATTTCAAATCATGATTATTTCATTTTATTCTTTATAACTAATAGAAATTCTTTAAATCTTATTTGTTTAACAAACATTCATAAATGCAGTTATTGGCCTTTGGTTAGGCATTAGAGCGTTACATCAAAAGTAGGTTAAATTTGATGGCTAAAATAAAAAAATTTTTAAAATAAATATGGTTGATATAATTATATTCAATTTGTTATCTAATATTTACCTCCTTTTTGATTATTCTGTCTGCATCTTCTTGACTCTCAAATGTAACAAATCCATAACTGAAGAAAAAACAAATTTGATTCACAGAATTATATAGAGGCTCAGGGGGCTATCTATATAGGAGTCTTTTTTTTTTAAAAAAACACCAAAACCCCCCCCCCCCCCCCCATCCATATATAACATTTTTTTTAAAATTTAAGTTAACAAATATTCATACCCCTTCCCCCAGCTACACCTTGTCATCGTAAAGGGCCATGCAAATTAATTATCCTGACAGTCTTTTATAGAGCCAACTGTCACCTGCAGGTCGATGAAATCCACGAATTCTAATAAGTCCTATTATTTTTTTTTAAATATCACCACAATGTTTGGCAGTTATCGTATACTAATGTTTTGTGTTTTCATAAAGAGGTCGCTTAATAGTAATATTTAACACGACATAGTGACAACACACTAGTCCACTAATACGTCTTTCCGTGCTGGTGAGGAGCCAACCTTCCCAACAGTCAATAGGAAAAAATTTGTGCCGTCGCCTATTCAATATCGCCTGATTTTTTTTCTGTTAACATACTATAGACTATTAACACCACAAGCTGTATAAAAAAAGTGGAGTTGGGGGGCAATGTTCCCTTTAAGCTGCGCGCTTTAAGCTGCGCGGCCGCGAAGCTATCTCACAGACGCTGTGCAGCAAATTTCCATGTAAGTGAGTGTTTGTGGACTGTAAAATTTTGCACACAAACAAACAAACCTTAGAGGGAACATTGGGTGGGGGTGATAGGAGTATGCATAAATTCTACATACACATGTAACCAAGCAAACAAGAGCCTGGGGTTCTTAAGGCGAAATCTAAAGATTGGCAACTCCTGTGTGAAAGAAAGAGCATATAAAGCCTTTGTCCGTCTGGTTTTAGATTATGCATCTTCAGTTTGGGACCCATGTACCCAGAAGAGCGTTGACAGGTTGGAGGCGGTCCAGTGACGAGCAGCATGCTTTGTCCTAAACCGCTACAGGAATATTTCTTGTGTTGGCAGCATGCATGAAACACTAGGCTGGTCACCATTGGAGGAACGACAATCCAGGCTCTCCATGATGTACAAGATAAATAATGGGCTGGTCCACTGTTCCAGTATTAAACAGAAACTCGTCCGTCTCCCCCATAAACGGCGACGAGGCCATGACAGGCAATTCAGGCTCACACCAGCAAGAAGCCAGTATAGGAGCTGCTCATTCCTGCCCAAGACAATCAGGGACTGGAACAAGCTTTCAAAAGGAACGGTTGAGGCGACAACACTAGACACATTTGTGTCTATTGCCTCAAGCCTTCAAACCCCTAGTGCATGATTCCCTCACAAAGTGTCACTGGAAATCAGTGAAATTTCCTCATCAACACCAGGAACAGAAACATTGCAAATCCCATCTACATGCATAGGAGCCAAAATGATCAATACATTGATTGTGGGCCCTTAAGATATAGAAGAAGTAGTGATACCAAACTGCTGTGTTAAAATAAAATCATTGAGGGGATAGAGCTGCTTTGCGAGTTCTAAAAATATTTTTTAAAATTCCGCCGATTAGACCTTAAATCTTTAGTTTTCTCCATTTTCCCAATCCACGGGTTCAGACGCTTGGTAGCAGTCCAAGGGGATGGTGAGTGAAGTGGTTGCTAGAGGGACTAGTTTAAATATTACTGTTGACGCACTAGTTAGTAGGGGTTTCTCCTGGATTTCGGATTTTGGTACTTTGCAGCTGATTGTAAGTTGGAAGTGAAGTAATTTTTACTCAAAAATGATACGCATTTTTAACAATTGAGTGAAAGATAATATAAATCAAAATATGAATTAAAATTACGGTAAATTTTAAAAACCGAGATAAATTTCTATCGCGTTAGGTAATCAAGTGGTAACCGACCAGCCAATCAGAGATAGTGCAATGCTATCACTTTTTTTGTTTACACGAGCACTCTAGTATAAATTTATACCTCTTTGGAGATCACGTAATTGTTTCACTGTAATTTGGCGCATAATAAGTTTCTATGTTGTTGTTATTATTATTATGCTTGGTGAGGAGACAGCTCCGCAGGGCAGTACGGGTAATCTATATCTCTGCACCAATGACTAATTGCTAAGCAGACTGACGTCAGGTCGATCAGTCTGTGTCCCTAAAAGTATTCATAGATAGGCTAGGTCAGCACAGGCCTGCTGGTTTGACGCAATTTGATGGTCATCTGCCGTGCTCGGTAAGGTGGCGGGCTGGCGGCCAGGCGCTTGGGTAGTATAGTTGCTTCTTATTTCTGTTACAACATCATTGGTGATTGCGATTAAGATGACGTCACGAATAATAATTACTCATCCTGCACTATCATGTATGGGATTGGGCCGATTGGCCACTATTAGCGGTGCTGACTCTAGCCTCTGGTTTGTTCGGAATATTAAACATTAAACAAGCTCAACGCTCGAAACAATCGATTAATGTATCGTGATCGTGTGGAATTCGGGAAAGAGAATTACTTTTATTTCAGATTATGATCCGGTGAGTCACAAAATCTGGCAAATTCCGAAATCCGGTATAGTCCGGTTGTTTCGGATACATGTAAATCCGGCGGAACCGGATTTCACCGGATAGTGCAAAATCCGGCGGAACCGGATTCCAGCACACCCCTACTAGTTAGTTTACTGTGACACACAAAGCAACAATCTGACAATCATCACCATCAATACAATTCTTTACAGTGATATTTTTTATGCCTTTGACACTCCCACCAATATCCCTACCCATGCACCCGGTATGCCACAAATCTCCTTAATCAACAGCCCCTACCTCCCCTATCATTGCGTAGTTAATAAGGAAGTATTGTCCCAACTTTAAAATAAATACAAAGAATTGTTTTTCTTGGTCCGTTCACTGCCAGATCTTTATTAGAAAATACTACAACCGAAAATGTATTTAATTTTTTTTAAATCGAAAAAAAAAAAAAGATATTTTATCGTGTCTCTGAAAATCTTAGTTTTGGCGAGTCTTGGCGTACAATGGTGTAAAATACTTAAAAATCGTACATTCAGACCTGTTTACTCTTACGATTTTGGCATACAATGTACGATTTTGAGGCGTATACATTATATATACTGTATATTTATTTTTTACTATTAAGATGATGTATTCAACGATTTTGTCATGATATTGTACGATTTTAAGAGTTTGAGGGTAAACTGGTCTGTACATTGTACGCCAAAATCATAAGAGTTAACAGGTCTGCTAATAAGTAAACACTAAAAAACAATAAAACTAAAAAAAAAATTTTTTTTCTCACGCACCCTTTAGAAACTCCAGCTCTGTCAGTAATGATTTTTGTGTCTTTTACAGCTCCAAATGCAGAAAAGTATTGTTTCAGCTCTGCATCAGTAGTCTGTATAATAAATAATAACAGTTAATTTCCAAAATGTTTTCAGCATATTTTTTCAAATTTAATTTGGTACAGGGATTTCCAACCTGGGATGCATTTCAGGGGGTTCCTGGAAAAGTTATTACAAGAACAGAGGAGCTTTTGAATTTTAAGTTATTATATGCTACTTTTGTAAGGGGTGCAAGACTTAATTTGAAGGGCGTACAGATTTTTTTAAATGGTTGGGAAACCCTGATAGACCAATGATATGAAAAATTATGAATTGCAACTAATTTTAACTAACATTCCAATTTCCTTATATTTACAAACTTTAAAACAGAACTCATTCAAAAACCAGTGGGATTTCTTCAATTTTTTTATTTGGGAAAAGTAATCAAAAAAGTTTCTTACATTTGCTGCAATTCCACCAACAAAGATTCTGCTTGGTATAACTGTCCCAAATTTTGGAGGATGTCCTCCACTTAGAGGTGTTGAACTAGGTGTTGTAACAGGTGATACATCAGCTGATGACTTTTTAAAAAAAAAACATTTGTTAATTAAATGCTGTTTTCAGTCATAAATTTTGTATTGTAAAGACATCCGAAAAGCTTTTAAATTAATAAAAACATTAAAACAATATATATTTCCCATAGCCTCAGATAAAAAGTAAAATATGTACACAACTTCCTGTACATTTGCCGTTTCAAACCATCAAACCAATGCCAAAAATAACGTGTGCACCTTTCTGGTATTTAAAGATATTGTCTTTCTGTTAAAATTAATATTACTGATATTGTCTTTCTATTAAAATTAATATTACTAAGTGTAGGGCAGTGGTTTTCAACTAGGCTTTTTGGAATGGTTTATTTAAAAAATGAGTTTTTCTTTGCAAGGTGTTGTCAAAAATAAAAATGTTAAGCTGATCTAATAAATTATTTTGATATTTTTTAAAATGATACCATTCTTTTTAAAATCCATAATTATTTTTAAATATGTCAATCTGACCTTCCACTGCTGAAAAGTTGGGAGTACACTGTAAAGAGATATGTTTGCAACAAAAAAAAACATCCCCACTCTAAAACTTATATATTCCTCTTATAAATTCAAATAAAATATTCTGTTTATAAATATGCCATTACAATCAATAATATTTCTTCAGTAGTAGACACAAACTATGCAAAAGTTTGATTTTTCTCCATGCAGTGCACATGTTTGCCCAGCGCAAAGGTGTTGACCTTTGGGGCTATCCATCAAGTCCATGTTGTCATTTTACAACAGATTACTTAATTCATGTATTACTGGGATGAAGGATAAAAGCATAACTCAGCTATGTTGTAACTGAAGACATGGTGCTGTGTATTCCATTCTGAGCAATTCTATCATTTTCAGGTTTGCTTTTCCTTAGCTGATTCATGACAGACTGCCAAAATTTCTACAGCAGCTCCCCTCAGTCTGTTTAATCTTGAGTCTGTGCTGTTTGTAGTTAATTTTCTTTATCCAGACTCAGACTCTATAAGTAACTTGAGCATGAGTTCCCAAACATGGTTGTGCAGCTACATTTTCTGATCTTTAACAAATTGGCAGTATTGACACCATATGTCAGAAATTATGGAAAGGACCAAATAGATTCAGATTTTGTTGGAGCAGCAAGTGCATCTGTAAGGTTGAAAAATAAATACAAGCCCTTTTTTTTTGGAGCTAGTCATTTATGGTTAGGTCAAAACAACACAACTTCTGGCATGTTCTAAGTACTAGTATAATCAGTTTTTTTCATCTTCCTTAAAAATCCAATTTTAGGATAAATGTTTTGTAGATGGATCATAGTTTCTTTCCCTCATGAGGGATTAGGAAATAAAAATCATAGCCCTTTGCCAAGCTGACTGTTGTCCAAGTTGCTTCACTTCACCGAGTTATTTCATTCAGATCCTGTCCTTTTCCTAGTTTTCTCCGGCATGAATTGACGGAGTTCTATTCCCAGCTCTGCTATTGTGAAAGGGGCTTTGAGAGGACCCACACATTTGGACCAAACAGTGAATATGAAATGAGCAAGACTTCTACTTCTAAAACATCTGCACAAAAATAAATGACAAGACACGTAATAGTAAATTACACTCCCACCAACAAAGAATTTGCTAAATAAATTAGTACAACCCAAGAATACAAACCAGTGGTTCTCAAATTTCATTAAGCCATCATCCCTAGCCCCGCTACCCAACTGACACTGACACCCTTGTCCTTGTAACATATAAACTGTATTCACTTATTTCAGGATAGTATTTTTGGAGACCATTAAAGAAATTAATTAAAATGATTTTAACTAAAATAATTTTTAAAATGTCTGATTTGAGCTTGCATCCAAAAGACAAGTGCAAAGACATGGCATCAAATGGATATACTCATCTATCCTATGCCTATATAGTCTATAAATTATAAATATACTCATTATATTATTATTATATTAGCCTATATAATTGTTAATGTGCATCTTTAATTAAATATATCTAAAAATTTATAAAGGCAAATTTAATAAGGATTGAAATCAAAGGGATTGAGAGGGGATTGAATCATTGACACTTCTGAACACAACCATAACTGCTCCAGGCTCTAACACTTACCTAATTTTCATTTGGGCTAATTTGGACATATCAGCCCCTCTTTTTTTGTTTTGAAAATGGATATCCTGTAGTTGTAGTTTATGTCAAAGACCATCTTTTATCTATCTTTCTTGAGTTTTATTACTCTTATGACTTTTCGGTTTACGCCCTACTTACTGACTTGGAGAACTGATTACGGCTACTGGGCGTAAACCGTGTAGAAACCATATTTTTTTTTTTCTTTTTGGTTATAAAACACTGGTCCCGGATAATTCAAATAATTGGTAATAAATAATTTTTAGCTTAGTAATTGAAGCCCCTACGCCCTACTATAAATAAATAAAGTCTTATATAGTATAGGCCTAACAGCCTCCAAATCAATCTGTCCACTTGGCATATACCATCGTTTGGTCTATGACCTACGCATTAGGAGATACTGTGATTATGATTGATAGATAGGCCTACTTCTGATTGAAAGTGACAGAAATAGTTCAATTTTTATCAGAATTCTAAATAAAATCTTAATGTCTCCAATTATTTAAGGCCCAAAAATAATATTTAATTTACCTACCATTTTTGAGCAGGTTTCATACATTTGATAGCGTTGGTTTGAAACAGTAGATCTATCTACAAAAAACTGAAACAAAATTGAACGCTTAACTCCAATTCAATAAGAACAGTAATTTACAACATTATGTACAAGTTAACACGAGAACAATGGCATAAATTTTTTCCCGGCGACAACACGTTGACGTCATTTCTCGTTAAAATTTTGCGCACGAAAAACTCGCTTGGGTTATACCAATATTTTAGGGTGTAAATGTCAAACTAGTTCTCAATTTAAATCTTTAAAATAACATTCGCTATCACAAAATTAATAAACTTAAGCATTATTTATATAGCTTCGAAAATTATTTGTTAAAATATAACATTATTATATTGTTTTATTCCATAACGCAAAATTGAGTGCTGCCACCTCTATTTAAATTTTAATTTGCACACGCCCATAATTAGCAATTATAAATTATGATAAATAGACTGGAAAGGGGGGAAAGTATCGAGTACTTAAAAAATTATGATTGATTCTATCCGATACCTAAACGGTGCATTTTATTTTATCCTTGCTGCATTGTGAAATTTTAATAATATAAATATTATTTATGCTAGGTGTTGGTGCATCAGATAATGAAATCAAATGTGCTAAAAAAATCAATGAATTAATCAGAATTAGCAGGGAAATTTCCACAGATCTTGGGAATTCCTGATTCCCCCTCCCCCACATAACAAAAGGTTAACGGGTCTACATTATCGCCTCTAAAGTAAACAATACAGCTTGAAAATAAATAAGAAGAATTTATAAGACTAAAGTGTAGGGTGTAGAACGTATTTTACAATTTCTAAAAAATGTATTATGTAAAGAAAGACTGCATAATTGTAGATGAGCACTCTATGAAACAAAATTTTAAAAGGATTATAATTGAATGAATTAAATATTTCTTTTTTTTTCTACAAACGTAGAATTCTTTACTTTTTTAAACATCGAATGCTTACCAAAATCCCGGGTGGGCGTGACTTAACTCTTTAGGGCTCGTCCATTAATTATGTCAACAAAATAGGGGTGGGGGGGTTTGACTAGGGGGAAGGGGGGTAGATTAGTTGACGTCAACAATCATGTTTTCTCTATTAAAAAGTTTAATTTTTAAAATTGACTGGTTATTACATTATTTTCACAAATGTAACTAGTGTTAATTAAAATAGTTATAAAATTTGTAGGCTTTCAACAATTTAAGATTATTTTAATGTGTATCTGTCTGTGCACTGCAAAGGGGTGGTCAGAATGTTAGCACACTTTGTTAGTGCAAGAGAAGTCAAAAGTTGGCCTCTCTTCACCTGTAGATTCTGTTGCAGGTATGGAACAAGGACAAGTGTCATGTTCAGTCAAGATAAATGATATTGATATAGTAGTAATATTATGACTTAGCCTACACTATTTATTTTTAATGGTGTAGTTGCAAGGGAGAAGATGACGTAGCTGGGCTACCTAACGGAGACGCAGCTAGAGACAGTGTTTCAGCTTGATCTGATCTGTCTGGTATAACACAAGGCATAAAGTCTATATCTGTGTAAATGTCTTTATTAAGAGGCCAAATTCCGCTGGCTTGGAAACCAGATGGGGTCGCTGCTTTGATGAAGGCCCCACCACCAAGTTCAGCAATTTGGTAAATTGTTATTGGTTTGCCTACGTTCTTAAGCATCAACGAGTCAGCTGAAGCATTGCATGCACTTTTTAGTGGTCCAAAAACTGATCTGTTCAGTGGCTGTGTTTTATTTGAGTTGTGTGGGGGCATTGTAACAATATGAATCCAAGTACGGAACAAATATTGTTTTTCTGAAGAAGTCATTTTTTAGTCGGGATCTTCACTCTTATCCAATAAGTTGCTAGGTAGCTTTTCAACTTAATGTTAGCTAAAGCTGCAAGAGCTAAGTTCACAGATACGAGGGCTTTTCATCTCAATGTTAACTAAAGATGTTAGAGCCAAGACTCTTTAATAAATATCTTTCTTAAACTGAGTTTCAACATACTGACGATGTTCACGGAAAATGTCCGTTACTTTACAAATATGTTTATGTAAACTTATCATTTCCAGCCGTATGGCTTGAAATGATTGAGGTACTGGTTCCATTATCGCTGAGTATGTAAAGATAATCACAAAACATCGGAGAAATGTTGGTGAAGAACATGAACAAAATCACAGGTAATCATCTTGTCGCGGAGAGACTTCAATCAGGTTAGCAAAGTAGGAAATGAGTAAAACAAAGTAAGGTCAAAATAGCATTGACCGGTAATACCTTTCAGCTACGTGCGACTTTATTCTGTTTTTTTTCTTTCTTTTCTTTGTTCACTGACGAAGGCTTCCTGTCGACGCCTTCGTTGTTTTGCTGCGTTCCTTCTTTTCAGGTTTTACCTTACTTTGTTTTACTCATTTCCCAGTAAGTAAGGTAAAACCAGGTAATGCATAGGACTGTAAACTTAATGATAGACTTTTCTTCGTCATTGTCAGGTATGAGTACTGGGTAAACTTCATATTTCCTTAGAAGTCATATAATAATGTCACATCACGAAAGTACAATACAATTTTTTTTTTTTTAAAGAAAGAAAACATGTTCTGTACTCATCAGTACACAGAATGGATATTGCATCAGTACGTAAAACGAAAGGAACAATGCCATATATATATAATATATATATGTATGTATATATATATATAATATATATATATATATATATATATATATATATATATAGAGAGAGAGAGAGAGAGAGAGAGAGAGAGAGAGAGAGATATTTGTTGTTTAA